ATAAGTAACATTTCTGTTACTTTTCGCGTGACCTTGGATCGGGTAAGGATCGTCACCCCGATTCGGGCACCCGTGACTTACAAAAAATCGGGCTCACACTAGGTTAAAATACTCCTCTATGGTATACTGAAATCATAAATACTTTAAGAACCTCGATAAGTTTCTAGAAACATAATAGTAAGTAATGATATATATGTGATATTAATCATTAGTAATATTATTTGTATATATAGATAACAATAAATACGTACTTATATACGTACTTATGTACGTACACACTGTACGTATATCATACATACATCAGATATATAGTCAGGATGTCAAGTAATACAGGTTGGAAAATTTATTTGTAAAACAACCAAAAACATTTGATATTTCTTTAAATCACGTTATTAACAATTTTGATCAATCGTTTATATATATTAATAATTCACAAGATTCTCTTAATGAAATTGTCAAAGAACTATGTAATATTTATAACGAAGAAAGAGCAAGAGGCAACAATGTGGAAACAATTCTCGATATAATGGATCAATTTTTAATAAAGCATCAACAAAATCCGGATGATATTATCAATTATTGCCTTAATTATGATGATAATGATAATTCTACTATTCAAATGATTCTTGCAGGTTGCTACAGTTTTGGTAAATGGACTGACCAAGATGTATATAAAGCATTCATTTGCTGTCAAAAATCTTCAGAAATAGAGAATGCTTATGGAACATATGACCTTGGATGTTGCTATTATTGTGGAATTGGTGTCAAAAAGGACGAACATATGGCACTCATTTGCTTTCAAAAATCTGCAGAATTGGGAAACTCTGATGCAATGCGTACTGTTGGTCTTTTTTATAATAATGGTATTGGTGTTAAAAAAGATGTGAATAAAGCATTTACTTACTATCAAAAGTCTGCTGACATGGGAAATGCTGAAGGAATAGAAGATATTGGATATTATTATCAAAATGGTATCAGTGTTGAAAAAGATGAATATAAAGCATTCACTTATTTTCAAAAATCCGCTGACATGGGAAGTGCCAATGGAATGAACACTCTTGGATTTTGTTATCAAAATGGAATTGGTGTTAAAAAGGATGATAATAAAGCATTTATTTATTATCAGAAATCTGCTGATATGGGACATGATAAAGGAATCTATAATCTTTGATGTTGTTATCATAATGGTATTGGTGTTGAAAAAGATGAATACAAGGCATTTAATTATTATCAAGAGTCCGCTGAAATAGAATTTGCTAATGGAATGTTTCAAGTTGGTAATTGTTATCAGAATGGAATTGGTGTGGCAAAAGATTTACAAAAGGCACTAGTTTATTACCATAATTCTGCTAAATTGGGTAAGGCCCTTGGAATGAATAGAATTGAGTTTTGTTATCGGAATAGAATCGAAAAGGATGAACATAAAGCATTCATTGATTACCAAAAATCAGACGGAGCTGATGATGCTTTTGGAACATTCATGGTTGGTTATTGTTATGAAAATGGTGCAGGAGTTAAAAGAGATGAATATAAAGCATTTACTTATTATCAAAAATCTGCTGAGATGGCAAATCCTGATGGGATTTTTAAAGTTGGTTATTGTTATGATAATGGGATTGGAGTTGAAAAAGACAAATCTAAAGCATTTATTTATTATCAAAAATCTGCTGAATATGAACATATTGATGGGATATATAAACTTGCATGTTGCTATCATAAAGGAAGTGGGGTTAAAAAAAATGAACATGAGGCTTTTATATATTATCAAAAATCGGCTAATATGGGTTACAGCGAAGGGATGTATGATGTTGGTTTTTGTTATCATAATGGTGTTGGGGTCCAAGAGAACGTGTGTAAGGCATTCATTTATTATCAAAAATCTGCAGAAATGGGAAATCCAAATGGAATTTATCAGGTTGGCTATTGTTACCAATATGGTATTGGAGTTGAAAGAGATGAAAATAAAGCATTCATTCATTATCAAAAATCTGCTGATATGGAGGATGCTCGCGGAATGTATCGAGTAGGTTATTGTTTTCAATATGGAATCGGAATTGAGAAAGATAAAGATATGGCATTTAATTATTATAAAAAATCTGCTGATATGGGCAATTATCTCGGAATTTTTGGTCTTGGTGAATGCTATTTAGATGGAATTGGTGTTGAAAAAGATGAATATAAAGCATTTATTTATTATCAAAAATCTTCTGAAATGGGAAGCCCTGAAGGAATTCATCAAGTTGGTTATTGTTACCAAAATGGTATTGGAGTTGAAAAAGATGAATATAAAGCATTTGTTAATTACCAAAAATCTGCTGAGATTGGAATTTTGTCTGGAATTTTTCAAGTCGGTTATTGCTATGATAACGGAATTGGAGTCGAAAAAGATGAGCATAAAGCATTCATTTATTATCAAAAGTCTGCTGATATGGGTCATATTGATGGAATATATAATGTTGGCTTTTGTTATTACAATGGTATTGGAGTTGAGAGGGATAATAATAAAGCATTTATTTATTATCTGAAATCTGCTAATATGGGACACGTTGTCGGAATGTATCAAGTTGGCGAATGTTATCGAAATGGAATTGGAATAACAAGAAATATACAAGAAGCACATTATTGGTATCAAAAGTAAATAGATCGACTTAAAATTTCTTTTTTTATTATGCATATAAAATTTTAATGATAATAATAATATTCAAATTCTAAATTAGGGAAAAAACTTTAACATCAGGTAAATTTATTATTGGAAATTTGTCTAATTGCATATTACCTATCAGAGCTTTTATACATTTATACGGCATGCAACTAAATAATAATAGAATTATTGACCCGTCAATACACTTTTTATACAATTAAAATTTAAATTAAAAATTAACAAAATCTTGTATTAATTAATTAATAACAAATAATTGCCTGCATAAAGACTCTGACATTGATGATGATTAAAGAAGTTATTAGTTGAAAATAAATATAAATTGGCATGGATCCCTTATAATGAATTTGATGAGATTAAAATGATCGGAAAAGGTGGATTTGCAACAGTGTATTCTGCTAAATGGACTAAATGTCTTAATAAAAATCTAAATGTTAGTAGAACTGTTGCGCTCAAATTAATTCATGGATCAAAAAGTTGTAGCGGAGAATTCATAAATGAGGTAATTTTTTTATAAACATGAATGAATAATTATTTATTAAACATCATCTGAATTTATTTCTTTTTAATAATTAGTTAAAGGCATATTGTGATATCGGTCTTAAAGATCTTACTTTTTTAAAATGCTTTGGTATATCAAGGGATGTTTTTTCTAAAGACTATCTCCTTGTTATTGAATATACTTATATGGGATCTTTACGTAAAAATCTTTATAATGTCTCACAAATGGTATGGAAAGATAAATTAAATCTTTTAAATTGCATTGTTAATGATCTTCATATAATTCATTTACATAACCTTATTCATCGAGACTTACATAGTGGAAATATACTGCTAAATAACCTTTATAGTGCATATATTGCAGATTTGGGACTTTCAACATTAGCTAATTTAGGATCATATAATGAAGTATGTGGCATAATTCCGTACATAGCACCTGAAGTGTTGCATAATATGACATATAGTGCAGCATCCGATGTATATTCTTTTGGCATCGTTGCATATGAAATAGTGTCAGGACTTTTGGCATATCATAATATGTCACATGATATAAATCTTATGAATAACGTCTATAAAGGTTTAAGACCAAATATTCCAACACATGTACCAAAGCCAATTGCTGAATTGATCGTCAAGTGCTGGGATGCTAAGCCAGAAAATAGGCCATCTTCCGAGAAATTATTTGAAATTATAAGTTAATGGAATGAAGAAGTCTTAAAGCAAAGCCCTACAGAATTTAATGCACAAATTAAAAAGGCTGATGAAGACCTTGAAATATTTTTGACGTCATCACCGTCTCATATTGATATACATTCTGAAGCAATCTATTCCAGAAGACGGTTCACTCCTTTAAGTGTTACGAGTTCTCATAAAACAGTTAACTATCAAGGTGACCATTATGTTATTTATATACGTTGTTTAATTTGTCTTAGCAGTTTTTATAATGATTATATCGTTCAAAATTAAAGATAATCAAAAAAAGGAGAATGTAGCTTATGTTGAAAAAGATGATCGAAATGTGTCATCTCACATCAAAATACAGTTTGATGAAATATTTACTAGAAGACAATCCAATCCTTTAAATATGATTGGTTCTGATAAAAAGATTAATCGATCAGGTAAACTGTTTCGCACAATTGGTCGTATGTAGTATTTAAATTTTACATTGTAATAATTATAAGAATTATACCGTCACCAATTAAAGATAAAGAGGAAAATACCAAAAGCTTACTCGATCTACAAGATGTAATTGATATTGAACAAGATAATCAAAAGACATCGATTCGTGTTGAAACACATCCCAAAACAATATTTACTAAAAGACGACTAGTTTTTCTAAAAATCAAAAATTCTGGTGAAAAACCCAATCACTCAGGTAATAATATTTCTTTAGTGAAATTGGCATAAATGTTTATTATAATATTTTAATTCCAGTAATATTGTGCATTAAAGATTACCAGGATGAAGAAGAAAGCAGCGAAGGCTTACTCATTCCGCATGCAATTAATGTTGAAAAGGATGAATGTAAAACATACTCATATTCTCAAAAATCTATTGAAATAGAAAATGCTGATGAAATATTTTATCTTGGTAATTGTTATCTTATTGGGAATGGAGTTGATAAAAATGAACGTAAAGCATTTGCTTATTATCAAAAATCTGCAGAGATAGGAAGTTCTGATGGAATATATATGGTGGGCTATTGTTTTGAAAATGGGATTGGTATTGAAAAGGATGAATCTAAGGCATTTATTTATTATCAACAAGCTGCTAATAAGAAAAATTCAGATGGAATTTGTCAAGTTGGATTTTGTTATGAAAATGGGATTGGAGTTGAAAAAGACGAATATCAAGCATTTATTTATTATCAAAACTCTGCTGAGTTAGGACATTCTGATGGTTTATATAATCTTGGATATTGTTATTATAAAGGAATTGGGGTTGAAAAGGACGAATATAAAGCATTTATAAATTATCAGAAATCTGCTGAGATGGGACACGATGGTGGAATGTTTAGTCTTGGTAGCTGTTATTATAAGGGGATTGGTGTTGAAAAAGATGAAAAGAAAGCGATTATTTATCATCAAAAGTCCGCTGATATGGGTAATACAGATGGAATGCTTATCCTTGGCTTTCATTATCAAAATGGAATTGGAGTAGAAAAAGATGAATATAAAGCCTTCATTTACTATCAAAAATCTGTTGAGATGGGAAATTCTCTCGGAAATTGTATGCTTGGATGTTATTATGAAGGCAGAATTGGTATTGAAAAAGATGAACATAAGGCATTTATTTATTATCAAAAATCTGCAGAAATGGGGGAAGCATATGGAATGTTTATGGTTGGTAGATGTTATGAAAATGGAATAGGCGTTGAAATAGATGAACATAAGGCTCTGATTTACTATCATGAATCTGGATTACAGCAATATAATGGTGGAATTGAAATTACAATGGACGAAAATGGTTCTACGGTTTATATTGAAAAGTCTGGTGAAATGGTATATGCTAATGAAGCATATAAAGTTGGGAAATTTTATCAAAATGGAATCGGAATCGAAAAGAACGAACACAAGGCATTTAAAAATTATAAACAATCTGCTGAATTAGGTGATTCTAACGGAATATTTGCACTTGGTAATTGCTATTATAACGGAATTGGGGTTGAAAAGAATGAACATAAAGCATTTATCCAATATCAAAAATCTGCACAAATGAACCATGTTGATGGAATATATAATCTTGGACAATGTTATATGAATGGGACTGGGGTAATCTTGAAGCAATATATGCAATTGGTAATTGTTATCTAAATGGGATTGGAATTGAAAAAGATGAACATCAGGCATTCATTTATTACCAAAAATCTGCTGAGATGGGGAATACTTATGGAATGTCTATGGTTGCTAAATGTTATGAAAATGGGATTGGTGTTGAAAAGGACAAGAATAATGCGTTAATTTATCGGCAAAAATCTAAAGAATCTGAAAATAACATCGAAAAAAATAAAAACTATTACTATAAACATTATACAGAATCTGGCAAAATTGTATCTGATAATGAAGCTCATGAGGCATATATGGTTGGTTGTCGTTATGAAGTTATAGAAAAAGATGAAAATAAAGCATTTATTTATTATAAAAAAGCAGCAGAGATGGGAGATTCTGATGGATTGATAACACTTGGAAATTGTTATCGAAATGGAATTGGAGTAGAAAAGGATGAATATAAAGCATTTATTCAATATCAAAAGTCTGCACAACTTGGAAATCTCGAAGGAATATTTAATCTTGGACAGTGTTACATGAATGGAGTTGGAGTTAAAAAGGATGAACATAAAGCATTTATTAACTATCAAAAGTCCGCTGATATGGGTAGCCCTCTAGGAGTTTGTGTGGTAGGTCATTGTTATCTAGATGGAATCGGTGTTGGAAAAGATGCGCGTAAAGCGTTTGAATTTTTCCAAAAATCGGCTGAGATGGGACATTCCGAAGGAATATATAATCTTGGTGTTTGTTTTGATAAGGGAATTGGCGTCGAAAGCGATGAGCATAAAGCATTCTTTTATTATCAAAAGTCAGCTGAAATGGGTGACTCTAATGGTACATATAACCTTGGTGTTTGTTATCACTATGGAGTTGGAGTTGAAAAGGATGAACATAAGGCATTTGTTTATTACGACAAATCAGCAGAGATGGGTAATCCTTATGGGATGTTTAATGTTGGCTCCTTTTATGAAGACGGTATTGGTGTTGAAAAAGATGAAAATAAAGCTTTTATTTATTATAAAAAAGCAGCAGATATGGACGATGCTAATGGAATGAATAATCTTGGTAATTGTTATGAAAATGGAATTGGAGTTGAAAAGGATGAGCATATGGCATTCATTTGTTATCAAAAGTCTGCCGAATTAGGAAATGCTATAGGAACATATAATGTTGCTGAATGTTACCAAAATGGAGTCGGTGTTGAAATAGATAATTATAAAGCATTTATGTATTATAAAAAATCTGCTGATATGGGCTATTCTGGCGGTGCATTTCAAGTTGGCTATTGTTATGATAACGGAATTGGTGTCGAAAAAGATAAACATAAAGCATTGATTTATTATCAAATGTCTACTGAATATGAGTTATGATTGTGATGACATAAGTTAATTTAGCTTGGATGTTGTTATAATATTTAATTTCGATATGTAAAGTCTGCAGCTTATAGAACAGTTAGTATAAAATATCTAACTAGTTATTATTATTTAATAAAATTATGTGGTTATATTAAATACTGGCAGTAAAATCATCAGACTTTATAACGAGGTTAAAGTTGGAATTAGGTTCAGAATATAGTAAAACAAGGATTTCTCTGGTGCGAGTGAGTTTTGATTAGGCAATATTAGTTTATGTGTGTTATTTTTATACATTTTATTTCGTGAACAGTAGTTTTGGAAATAATTATTTTAAATGTAGTGAAATGAAGTGTATGGTTATGAGCATGTATATTATGTATAACTGGGCGCTTGAGTTGCTTAAAGGGAGTTAGTAATGAGTGTAATGTATGGTATCGTGCCAGTACATCATATAACAAATTTTATTAAACATTTATACTTTATATTTAAATTAACAAATCTTGAATAAATATACTTGATGGGTGAATGATGACTTTTCTTTTACTATTTCTGTTAATATCAAATTTATTATTATTTATTGCATCTAGTGTTGGTAGGGATGTTACGGTCCAGCAAGAACCACGGTCCGGACCAGTCTTTTGAACCGGTCTAAGCAGTCCGTGGTCCGTAATTTAGGGCCGGTCCCAATAGGTCGGTCCATAATAAATTCTGCGATTATATAATTATGTAATGGTAAATACAGTATATGCAATAGCATTTCTATTTCGAAGATCATACACCTTGAAGCGGAAAGCATATCTGCAATAGCGTAATAATAGTAATAGCGAATAATTTTAACTTGCAGAAAAGTACATACATATTTGATATCAGATATGTATATGTCAAATCAATTATTTATCGCAATTAAGTGATAACTTTGTAATCCCAATTTAAAACCATTTAATATCACGTAAACAAGTTTTATAGTATGTATGTATATACAGTACATTCTAAAATAAATGCTATTAAACTTGTTTTTAAAACAAACTTTAGATAACATTGTAAGCATAATTCCTCAATCGGAACCTTGGTTTTCGCGTATAATGTTTAAGTAAACATATAATAAAATTACTTACAGGTATAGTACAGGGCTTGCATATTTGTGATCTGACGAAAGAATGTGTTAAAAACGTTCATAGATTAGAGTTTGGAATCGGTTTTATTTTTCATATAGTAAAACCAATTAAAACTGGGTTTAAAAAAACCGGTTCCAAACGATAATCTAAATTCACCATTCCTATTGGCGGTCCTTGGACTGGACCGAACTAGGACCGGTTCGTGGACCAGTTTATGAATTTGGTCTGGTCTGTGGTCCGCTACTTGGACCCAATCTTTGGAACCGAGACTGAACCAGGACGGACCGTAACATCCCTAAGTGTTGGCAGGCGAAACTATGGCGAAAGACGAATCTAAACCCGGTGAAAAGCGAAACTCCTGCTAAAGTTGAAATCCCAGAGAAAGTCAAAACTTAATAAAGATCAAATCCTCTAAGACTTCTGAAAAAGATTGAGCCGTCTAATTTTTATAATATTATTAGTGAAAATATAAAAAAGTTTGAAATTTTATTTATTATTTTTATTACATTCATGTATGCATGATAATTAAGAGTATCGCGCTATGCTATATATAAAAATAAAAATATTGATGATTATATAATAAACCTTTAATTTTCTTTAATTACCTTTCTATACTTGCTAGTTTACTATATTTTTTTTTACTAATTTTACTACCTTTTTTCAATTTTTTCACCTATTAGAAGTTTCATCAATTTCTCACCTTTCGTCACTTTTGCCTTTCGTCTGTGGCGAAACTCTTAGGTTTCGCCTGCCAACACTAATTGTATCTACAAATAATGACATAAATATTAAATTGCTGAGCAAAAATATATCAGTAATTAAAAAAAGAATCATCTTGCTTGTTACTTAATGTCTTTTAATTATTGCTCATTAGGTTTAAATTATATCATATGTAGTAGATCTTATATAATATAAATGATTGATTATTTTATATAGCAAAGATAGATGTTATCTCAAAGCTGGAAATAGTTTTTATAATGTTTTCTTTTTATAATTATTAAAACATTATATCCCAAAAAGTAAACTAAAAATTATAGCATATAAATAAGTTACTCAAGTAATTGATTTAGCTTTTAAACCATAAAAAAATTTTTTTTTAATTCTAAAAAGTTGAAATAATAATTTGTTAATAGAAATTTATTATTTAATAAATATTTAAATTAATACTTTAGGTACTTAGCTTTGACATCTCTAATAGCATAAAATTAATGTTAATATTAAAAAAGTAAATTAAAAATATTCTTTTGTATAATTTCAATACCAGAACCTAGAAAGTGTACTAATATTATATTATATTTATACCTAACCAGTTTCTATTACATTTTTCTTACAATAATATGTTGTTCTTCTATATAAAAATAGAAATCAGTTTTTGTATTTGTTTTTAGATATGAATCTTTTCTTAGTTAAATTCAAGTCAACACAATAGAAGAAAAGATTAATATAAAAAACACATACTAATTTATACTTACTTAACTCCAAGCATATATATACAATCCATCAAATACCTAAAATTCTACAATAAGCTGAAGCAATTACAATATGAAATAACTAGAAATATATTAAAAACATTATAAAGTGTCTTTCAAATATTAACTAAAAACTCATTTTTACATATCTTAACTTCAAAAACAAACCTCTAAGTTAAAATACTAATTATAAAAAATCTCTGTTAAAAACATTCAAAGTCAAAATCTTAATTTTAGAACTTCCTATCCACCTAAATTTATACAATAGAAATCTAAAATTTCATACTAATTTATTCTATACAAAATGTTTCAGTATATTAGAAAATATTTACTATATATTTACATGTTCTTACAATTAAGTAAAACTAAAAAAAATAATAAAAGAAGCAATAACCAAAATCCATAAAGATAATAAGATTAAATCAATCATAGCATCTGATCTAGCTTAAGAAATCTAAATTATTAATATAAAACAAAAAATTCTAATAGGAATTATAACTAACAATCTAACTAATCTAGATTTTTAAAGAAGAAACCAAATTTGTTCTCAAATATATATTATCAAATTACAAAGAAGATACATAAATATATATAGAGACCAAGTAGACAATATCTTTAATATTGCTTTTTTCTTCCATTAACTTTTTCTAATAATAATACAGATGTTACATCTACAACTTCTATAAATAAACAATATACAATATGATTTAACAAATTTATACAACTTAACCAAATATTTTCTTTCTTTGAACCCATATACTAAAGGTCTCTTAACTATTCTAGTTAAGAATAGGTTGAGAGTAAACCAGCCCTAATTCATACTTCTTTAGTTTAATGTATCAATTTGTACTAATGTACTTAATTATATATTACTGAAATAAAGAACTAAAAGAAAGTCCTCTCTTATAAAAAAAAAAACTTAGACACTTATATATAAGAGGTAAATATTTTTATTGGCAATACTTTAAAACTTTTTTCAAAATTTTTATTTTTATTATATCAAAAATTAATGGATATAACGTTAATAAAAAAAGAATATACATATATAGCGAAAATAAATTAAAATATAATTTGTATACTGTTTCAATAAATGTATATATGTTCTGAGTCATTTCACACAATTTAGGTCGATTCTGAATTGACCTAGGTCATTCATAAATTTTCACTAATTCAGAAATGATTCAAGTTAATTTTTAATGAAGTGCTACGGAACAGGGTGTGGCTAATTATCAAGTGACAAATATTTGTCACGCAATTATTTGTCACACCACTGCGGTGCAACACCGCGTAATTTAAGGATCGGATGTGACCAATTATCGGTGTGACAAATAAGTACCAACTAATTAATTTATATAAATAAATTAGTGCTTATTTGTCACATACTTGATCCTAAAACTTAATAAAAATTTAGAACCCTGAATTATTACGTTTGTCGATAAATAACGAGTTTTTTTTTCTTATCTTTAAAATGGAAAGTTGCGACCTTTTGACGCGTGAAACCTTTGATCGAATGTTAAAAGCTTTTATTCATAAAAGGAAAAGCAATTGCTATTTAATAGATCAAAATAATGTTTAAATGTTATTAAAAATTCTAACGAGACCTATATAATCCAAAATTTATAACATAATCTTTAAAATCATTTACGTTGGTGCAATTAAAGAACTTTATACGATTAAACGACCTGGGGACGCAAGTCTGTCCTGTCGAAAACTTTTTTATGCTTTAATGTGTATTTTTTTATTGCATTTTTTTTATTTATTTGTATTACGCATTTTTTATTTATACGATTTTTTTTTTATTTGAAGCATTATAATTGACTAAATTTTTTTTATTAAAAGAATTTTTATAAGTTTTTGATTTTATGTAAAAGTTTGCTTTTTTCACACAAAAGAACTTTAATAATGTAATTAATATTATTGCTTGGGTTATATAATTTATCGCCTGGGCATATAATTTTAAAATTTTCACCGATTGAGAAACGACCTAGGTCATTTCAAAATTCAAGAATGACCTAAGTCAATTTGGAATCAATCTAAATTGTGAAATGACTCAGAACATATATATTTATCGATAAGTCATTGAGTTATTAAGTACCGATGTTTAATTTTATATCAGAGTTGAACTTGGCATGATTATCGGAAGCTCTCCCATTTGATGGTGACAGCGACGTCCTCAATGAAAAATAAACCTTATCTAAGTCCCACTAGTTACGAACCTGACGGTGAAATATTTTCATCAGTTAATATGGAATACCATCGTATAGGAAATTATAATTTTAATTAAATCAAAGATATACTGCCGTTCTTCTCTATAATTACACTGTTTTACACAAAAAAGATGTGATTATAAACTTTTAATAGTAACGTGATTATATAAAATTTTTCAATAAATATGATTTTCAAAAAATGGAGCTTGTAAAGATGGTGTGGTTATATTGGAGGTGACTGTAGAGGAGAATGATTGTAGTAATGTGATTATATAAGGGTTTTTTGATAGATATACGTATTGCTAATAATTTTTCAAAAAAAAATGATGTTTATAAAGAGGGTGTAATTATATAGGAGGTGTCTGTAGAGGAGGACAACTGTATCCAAAATTTCCAACTTCAGCTACGACAATATATATATTTAAAGATCCAAGAATTAAAATTATTATAAATGGTCCATTTTTTTTTTAAAGCTTATATCATATAGAAAAAACAATTCGTTTCGTGCTTTCTTTTTTTTGCTAAGTCATGGTGATAACCGAATTTTGATTTATTATGGTTAGGGTATTAATGGTATTACCAACTAATCAAGTTCATAATTTATACAAGACTATAAAAAATTGTACGTAGTAACATGATATTTGAAAAACGAATGTAGTTTATCGGTTATGTAACCATTCACACTATATTTGTAGAATGATTTCCATATTGATAATTGAAAATAATGATTATTTAGTCTAAACATTTTATCCTGTATCGATAGAAAAAAATAAAAATATATTGATACGTATTTAGATAATGATTTACATCTAATACAGTAATAAGGAGTTTCATTCCATAAAAATTCCAATGCTAATTACATCAGCGTTACGCAATGCAACAAATTTTAGGAGTTTACTAATTTTAGATGGTCGGTTAAAGCGGCGTGAGTTTTAGTATTAGTGTTACCTTTTTGATGCAGTTAGTGTAAGTAGGGTATATAGATATCAAAGATGCAATTTATGTAGTATGTGGATCATATATTGAATTAACTCCCTAATTTTAGAGCTACAAATTTCAATGTACACATGTCGTCAACATCTGTTCATTAACATGAATTTTTATGCATACTATGGATTATAGGGCTAGACTGTATCCAGTTCCTATGAAATTTTCAATATATCAGTTCATGACTACATTATACTTTATCGTTAATGCTTCTCTCCAAGAGGCATGACTATAGTGATTTGCTTAATATTTGGAATTTCATGATGAGAAGGATTTATCTTTGGTTAATATTCTTATGTGCCCCTACTTCACACACACGTGTCATAACTAAGTTACGTCTTTAAATAACTAACGAACTAATATATATCCGTTGTTATATTTGAGCCTTTGGCACACCTTTACTCATAAATTGTCATATGATTCATGCATAAATTATCTTACGATTCTAAGCCTCAAAATTTACTGTCTCGATCAGATAATATGGCCTCATTAATTGCTGCACCTACGATTTTATTAATCATTGATGATTAATAATGTACACAAATATGGAAAGTGTTTATTCGTTCTAAACAAATACGGAAATGAGATTCGAATTACAGAAATAACGATAAATCGTAATAAAATATCAGATATGTGAAAGTTACCATACAACATTTCAACTCTTTCAAAATGATAGTATTACCTAATGAATGTCTTTTCGAAATATTTATCAACCTTAAAAGCAATAAAAGTTTATTTTCGTGTCTTTTTGTAAATCATCAGTGGTGTAGAAACGTTGTACCGATATTATGGCGCGGGCCAGTCACTTTTCGAATCAGAGAATTGATAAAGACATGCCTTTTATTTTTAAATGCTGAAGAACAAGCACTATTAATACCATTTAAAATAATGCTTCCCAACAATCAAGAACCATTATTTGAATATACATATTATATTAAATACATTGAAATTAATTCAGACGATGGAATTATAGATTGGCTTAATAAGGAAGGACGCGGATCAAATAATTTAACTTACTCTAAGAAAGATAAAAATACGATTCAATCCATCAAGTCTTCTTTAATTCTAATGTTATTAAGAGCATGCAATAATCTTAAAGACCTAAAAATTGACGGAACTATTTATAGTAAAATTACTTATTTATTGGCAGATTCACTTTTCCAAACCATATTTCTTGCACCATCAATTACTAAAGATAATAGAATTAGTTCAAGAGGATGTAATTTAACCTCTTTAACACTTTTTAATAATAGATTTGGTATAAAAGAAATCAAAGCATTATCAGATGCACTATGCAAGAATATTACTTTAACTTCTTTGGATATTAGATGCCCTCGACTCGATATTGATAAAGCAATAATATTAATAGATGCACTTTATAAAAACACCACTTTGTCCTATTTGAATCTTGAGAATAATAATCTTGGTCCAATGGCTGGAGATGCATTAGCAAAAGTTCTTTATGAAAATACTACGTTGACTTTTTTGAATCTTTCAGCTAATAATCTTTGTTCAGAAGGAGGAAAGTTACTAGCAAAATCTCTTTATAAAAACAATAGTTTAACTCATTTAGTACTTTATTATAATCAACTTGATTTTGAAGGAGGGAAAGCATTTGCAAAAGTTCTTTATAAAAATGGCACATTAACTCACTTAGATCTTGGAAATAACAATCTTGGTGATGAAGGAACAAAAGAATTGGCAGAAGCTCTTTGCAATAATAAAGTTTTAATTTCATTGAACCTCAGATTTAATCGTCTTGGCATTTCGGGAGTCAAGGCATTAGCAAAAGCTCTTCGTGAGAATTCAACATTGAAGTCTTTGGATCTTTATTATTGTAACCTTGCTTCTGAAGAGGGAAATATATTGGCCAAAGCTCTTTGTGAAAATACTACTTTGACTTTTTTAAATCTTGGTCGTAATAATTTTTATGATAAAGAAGCAAAAATATTAGCAGAAGCTCTTTGTAAAAATAATGCCTTAAGTTCATTGAATCTTAGGTTTAATCAATTTGGCATTGAAGCTATAAAAGCATTAGCAGAAGCTTTTTGCGAAAATACGGCGTTAACTTCTTTAGATCTTTGCCATTGTAATCTTGGTTCTAAAGAAGGAAAGATATTAGTTGAAGCTCTTTACAAGAATACTACTTTAATCTGTTTGGATCTTAGTAGTAATAAAATTGATACTGCAATTTTAGATAGTATTAGTAATTTACTTCTAAAGAATAAAATAGGTAAAACTAATTAAGAAAATTGGTTATATTGTAATTTTTAAGATTATTAAAAGATTATATCGTTTATTATAAATTCGACTCGACTGATTATACATTTAATTATATAAAGATTATAATAAAATTGCATTTAGTTATTAAAAAAAAATAAATACATAAATTTATTTAATCAAGAAATTTAGAAGTTATAATAAGTTTGTTCTTGAAATCAAAATATGTGTCGTAAATAAATTCAATTGTAAACTTAAAATTGGTAGTATATTATTAATTAATATGGGTAATTTGTTATAAAAGATAAATACATCATAGGTGTCGAACACCACTTCAGAATTATTACTTATAAAAAATACTATCGTGCAGTTTCTTGAGTCTTATACGTGATTTCTCATCTCTCTTAATAATTTTCTCTAGTATCTCAATAACTGACTTTCATGACATACTATTTGCATATTGCACAATTATTAATACATATACATTACACGCTTATTTATCTCACATAATACGTACGTATGTCTCATTTTTGTAACATTTAAATAACTAAACTTGGCCAAATATTGTTGTATTGTTAATGGCTATCTCATCCGATATTAACATCGGCTAGTTGTCATTCTTAACATTTAAAGCTAAAAATGCTGAGCGAAGTGAAGCCAAGAATTGTATGAAAATATTAAGTCAAAAGTTAAAGACAAATTTGAGTGAAATGAAATTGAGAGCTATAGAAAAATGACGTTAATAATCTAAGGCACATCAATTTTGATATATGATACAGTGAGACCTCTCTAAGTGCACACCTTGTAACCACAATTTAACAACATGCACTTAGAAAATAAGAAAAAGTGCATTTATAGAGATCAAGTATATATTTGGTCCAGAAATTAAGTGTGCATTTAGAGAGGATATTTACTTATAAAGAGTACACCTAGTGAGGTCTGAATATATACAGAATCCACGATAACAGGTATGTACTTTCAATAAATAATTTTTTTGTCATCACACAATGTCATAATTATTTGGTAATTCACTTGATGGTAATCAATAAGATAAATTGATAAATTGGGGAAAATTGCATAGTAAGGAACCGGTTCATTACACAGACAATCGATTCACCGTCAGTATGTTCACTAACAAGTTTAATTCACCAACAGTATATTCACCGACAGTATGTTTCACAAGTCTTTGTTTATAAATTACACTAACCTTAACTCTAATTCTAAACCTGACCCTAACGACAATCAAATTAGGGATGTTAAGTAGTCTGACTACTTTAGTTTTTACAGTACAATTTATATGTAACCAACCTAGTCAAACCAGCTGGTTACATATAAATTGTACTGTAAAAACTAAAGTAGTCAGACTACTTAAAATCCCTAAGTGAAACGAACTTGTCGATGAATTGATTGGCAGTGAAAATGAACGGTAAAGTTTTATTTTATATACGGTGACTTCTCAATTTGGAGATCTGGCTTAAAAAATTTCAAAGATAAAACAAAATTTTTTAATTTAATTGTGTAAAATAATAATAATAATAATAATTTATTAATATGATTTACGATGAAATAAAAATTTTACCAATTTTACGAAAATTATTTTATTTGTGCTCTAACTAATTAAAAATGTTTTTTTTCTTATTTCTTGCAAGAAAATTTTCAATTATATCTAAAATTGTATTATCGATATTGTTCTTTCTAAGGTTCAAAAATATTAAAGTAGGATTCCTGGAAAGCGCTTCAGCTAATATCCTTCCTTCATCATCACCAAGATTACTTTTATAAAGATCTAAAGAGGTCAAAGTTACATTTTCATAAAGAGATTCTGCTAATTCTTTAATTCCTTCAAGGTCAAGTTGATTAAAGCTAAGATTTAATGAGGTTAAAGTCACATTATTACACAGAGCTTTTGCTATTGCTTTTACTTCTTCACTACCAAGATCATTATAACCAAGATCTAAGGAAGTTAAAGTAGTGTTCTTACAAAGAGCTTTTGCAAATGCTTTCCCACCCTCATGACCAAGTTGATTACCCCAAAGTACTAAGTGAGTTAAACTATTGTTTTCGTAAAGAGATTTTGCTAACGCTTTCCCACCTTCAGAACCAAGAAGATTAACTGAAAGATCTAAATAAGTTAAAGTTGTATTCATATATAAGGCATTTGCAAATGCATTTCCTACTTCTGGACCAAGATTGTTATATTCAAGATTTAAAGAAGATAAAGTGGAGTTTTTATAAAGAACATCTACAAGTTTTTTTCCAGCTTCGTTACTAAGTTCATTATCGGAAAGTGTTAAAGAAACTAAAGTTGTGTTTTTACAAAGGGACATTACTAATGATTTTCCACCTTCAGAATCAAGTTGAATATTATAAAGTTCTAAAGAAGTTAAAGAAGTGTTTTTACAAAGAGCCTCAGCTAATACCTTACACTCTTTTGAGTCGAGTTTATTGTTCAAAATACTTAGAGAAGTAAGTGTTATACTTTTAGTGAGAATGTTTGTGAGTAAATTAATAATTTGATTATAATTAATTCTACTAAGAACTAAAGTCTTAATCTTACAACTAGTTCGTAAAAGCATTGTAATTAGAGAGGATTTAATAGCCTGAACCACATTTTCGTCCTTTTTAAAGTAAGATAATTGACAAGGATAGTGACCTTCATTATTAAGCCAATCTACTATTCCATTGTCCGAGTAAGATTCGATAAATCTGATATAAGAAGTATATTTAAATAAGAGTTTTGGAGCATTTGGAAATACTATTTTAAACGGCACTAATAGAGCTTGTTCTTCAGCGTTTAAAGCTAGAAGGCAAGTTCTTATAAATTTACTACTTCTAAAATCAACTGGTCTACTCCATAATATTGGTACAGCGTTCCTGCACCAATAACGGTTTACAAGAAGGCATGAAAATAAGCTTTCATGATTATTGAGATTAATTAATATTTCAAAAAAGCATTCGTTTGGTAGTGGGATCATCACTCGTCACAATGTAATGGGATTAACGTTAAGGTTTGGACCAAATTAACTAATATACAATAACGTTACACCGCTTATCTGTAATAGTATATAAGCATCATGAGATTGAATTTCTACCAATAAAATTACCGTTAAATTGCGTGAAAAAAATGCTGTACAGTATCAGGTTTTGTAAATCTATCGTCACGTAGTTACACACGTCATACATGTCACAGATTTTATTCACGGGAGTTATTTACCACCAATCGCAATGTTGTATTATCAGAATTATTGAATTTGAAATTGCCTTGAACTTTGCAAATAATTAGGTCATTTTTGAGTTATATTTACTAAAATATTTTAGAATTTAAACAAATTTAAGAATAATCATTTGCAATACGTATTTGAGATAATTTTAAATTTTCTAGATCTCTAGAATAAGAACATATATTCAAATGCTGAAATTTGCTATATGTTTTGAAGATTTTGTTTAAGAAAGTAATTGCTATTTAAATTTATTACATTGGTCGTAAAAAAGATCCGGAAATAATCGTTTACATCATACATTCTATAAATTGGGAATGGCAAATCCAATTTCGATGATTCAGTATTTATATTATTTCTGTAGCATTTTGCAAAAAGATGTGGCCGCATATTTTTTGTGATGATGAGTGGGGAATGTTGCTAAGATTTTGATTGTTTATTTTTTACAGTACTAGACAAAAGTTTTCTCACGCTCATATCTTCTCACTGATAGGTTCTAGATTGTTGGTAATTTTTCAATTACAGAAAAAAATTTCCGATAAGAGTTAAAGTTTTGAATAGTTTTTTTTTTGATAAAAAATAAAAAATTAATTAGATTTAGTTAAAAAAATAATAATAAATCATTATTATGTTCAAAATTCTAAGATTTTAGTATATTAAAATTTAATGATTTTTATAATAATTTGATTCAACTATAAGAAATTGTTGAAAAATTAATTTTTAAAATTTAAATTTTATTATTATTTTATTTTGTTAAAAAATTATTATAAATAAGTTTTTATTAATTTTACTATATAATTTATTTTAAATTATATAATAAAATTAATAAAAACTAAGGTGACAAATTGAAGTATTAAGTTGTCATCTCTCAAGTAGCAGGTCAAAGGTTCAGATCCTATCAGTAATAATTTTCAAAAATATTACTTATATTATGCCAAACTGTTTCTTGATAATTAGTTGGATTAATGTATCTAACACACTATTTATGCAAAGTTTAATGTTATATGAACATGGAGGAACGCTCATATACAATTCCAAATTAAAACTGTTAGCTAACTATGACTTGTAAATCATAATCATTAACTTCGATATTGGATTATATGAGTGCTGCAGGGCAAAAAGCTAGAAGTGAATATTTAAGGTTTCATCATGGCGAGTTTAGCCCATTTAGTCTTGTGAATTCTGATGTTACGTGATTAATCATGTACCTAATCATTGTCCTAGTCGTTTAGTAAAATTACGTACGAATGTATTGTTATTGTTACTAAACTAATCAAAGCATTGTTTATCAGTACGTAATATAAAAGTTCTTCAGGGGCTAATTCGCCATGATGAGAACTTAAATATTCACATCCAGTTTTTCTCTCTGCAGCACTCATATGATGCAACGCTTACACAACTACATATCAGATATAGCATACAGCATTTATATAACATATAGCATTTATATGATATACGGTACTTATATGGCATATGGCACTGCTACTTATATAGCAAATGTGCCATATTGTCACAATAGTTGTGCTGAGGGAGCTACGTACACTCAAGATTTAAATACCTTTTGCTAAAAATAATATATTTGGCTATAATCGTAGCAAATCGCGGTAAACTATATGCTTTTTGTGATTTTCACAATTCACGTTATATTGATTCTTGTGCATGAGTACAAATTTAGAAAGCACGATTAAGAAATTGAAAATTAAAATAACCGTAACTACTTATACAGCCAATAAAAACTCAACTCGTTTGTTTTACATGAGAGAACCAATACATTACTTATTTTATCATTTAATACTATCAAATTTCTTTGATGAAACACATTTCAAATTAGAAGCTTTTTACACTTATTAATGATTAAATTTTATATACATATTTGAAATTTAAAGCATGTTACTCATATAGAAAAATGTGTGAGAAGTTTATAGATTTAAAAGTATCTTGTCCTGTACAAATCAGGAAATGACTTATTGGGTTCATGCAAAGATTCAGGAAGACTGGAAAAATCTAATCATACTCGCATTCGATGTACTTATTGTTATACTACTGGACATATGAAGAACTTTTATTTTGCTTGTTCTTTTCATCAAGGAGTTTATAAAGCAACAAGTTGCGATTTATCTACAAAGGTTTTGAATCTTGCTTTTAAGAATCAAAGTAACAAGCAAGTAATGAAGGAGTTGCTTATGTACTTGTATCAAAATGAATGGTAATCGCTTAAAAGGTAAATAATGACTTTTTATAAAAATGTATTATAGTAATTGGGTCCGTATTATTTCATCAGGCGACAATTTACTGAAAATATATACCAGTAAATAATAAAATGCGGCACCGATAGTAATTAACATTCGATTATAAATTTTCAAATAAGATTTAATTAAGGATTATTCAATCAAAAATTTGGTCATGTTTTTCTTTAGTCTAACACTATTTACTGCATTATTCTTACTAGAACTATATAGTACGAAATTTTTTTGTATTTGACTGAGTATAACGATAATAAAATTGCATATGTGAGTAACTCTCCAAGTTTCAAATAAACTTATGTGATAGCTAGTAACCACCAATTATTAATAAATTTGATTTTTTTTATGAATATAGGTTTTGAATCGAAATTATAAGTAGCAAAGATAAAATCTTTATTTAATTTAGTTTGGTGTTATTGTTTGCGTTACTTATACAAGCGCTTTTGTGACCTGAATTTGTATTATATATTGTTATTTGTATAGTTGGTCACTGGTTCACGTGACAGCTCAGGACAATACAAATAAATACACCTACTAAAATCCATCTTAACCACTAACTCACAATGTTTATAGATTTTTTGGAATGAACAAGATTATATGGACGCTATATATATAGATATCAAATATGATGATAGCTATACTAAAATTATGAAATGGTTATTAATACAACAAGCAATTACCAAACTATAAGATTGTTTATGATTTTTATAATTCTTTCTTATTTTGTTTTTATGACAAATAAATATCTTTTAAACTCTGATTTTTTTCATTACGATATCCAACATCTAGAATCTCATCTTTGAGATTCTTAATAATAAATTAATGCATTATCTTTGTCTTTTTCAACTTCATTTCCATTTCATATCATCCAACATTAAATGCAACACTAGTATTCCCATCTCAGAATTTTGATAATAAACTAACAACCCAAGTACAACCTTTTTAACATCAATTCTATTTTAATATAGGCAAGTTTTCTAAGTGCGACTCATTGGGACCAGGCTTTTGGCAACATGATTTGGAGAACAATTAAGAAACATTATCAAATATATCGATATACTTAGGTCAGAATTGAAAGTTGCATTTAGAGAGAAATTACATTAGAGGGTTTACACTTAGAGAGAGTTAATTATAAAAATATCCACTATTACATGTTCTATCAGCTTGTCCTTTCCAACTTCATTTCATTTCGACAACGATGTCTAACCCCAAAATCTCCGTTATAATTACCATCTTGGCAGATTTTTGATAATAAACATAAGCAACTGCGCGACGTTGTCACGCAAAACCAGGGATGGAAGTGGACTTTCAGATCGAGTTGCAGGTGAACCTGTTTTCGTCATAAGTTCACCTATATTTAATTTTATCAATTTTATTGAAATTTTCTAACATTTATCGGTTTTACTTGAAACTCTAATTTAGATTATATGTGCGGTAAGTCGAATATTAACTGTGCGATTTAGATAGATTAATATTTGTATAGTATAAATGTAGCATTCTTGTATGTACGTAGTCTCTTTCTAATTAATTATTCACTATCGTTGTTATTTAATTTTATGTAACTGGTGAATGGTTATATTTAAAATAAATTATTTATACCATATAAATTACTTCAAATTTTAGTCAGCAAATTACTTATTTGATTTGAAGAGTATAAAGATTGATTTTTAATGGAAGTATTCAAACAATATATTCACTTCTAATTAACTTCTTATATGTACTAATTTAATGTTAAACTATATGAAATTTAGTTTACCTAATGAAATATACGCAAAATTACTTAGTTTATATGAGATTGCGGTCGTTTATTTAGATAAGCACGATTACAGATAAAAAAAGACCAATATAATTATCGGATTATGTTGCATTAAAAGGGTAGGTAACGATAAGAAAATTTATTATTAAGTGTAAAATCAATTTGATCTGGATCTAACCATTGTGAAACAGTATATAGGTATTAAGGATGAGCATATAAAAAAGACATTCAATGCACAAAAACTAGTTATATCTAATTTATAATTAAACGTAAGGTAGAAAAAATAAAAAAAAATCAAGATGAAATAATAGTAAGCAGATTAGTAAAGCAATAAAAGGTCTAATTCTTAAGCGTACACTTTAAAATAGATACTTTTGAATTATTGAACTTAGGACATCTAAAATGGATGAATATAGTTAGGCAAAATTTTACGCAATATGAAAATGTAATAAATTCTTAGTTTATCCAAATAAAGTGCAAATAAATGAGATTAACAAGCCAAAAAGTTTACACTGATACGAATAAATTTTAAAGCAAAAAAAGTTTATATTGATGATAACGATAATAATTCAAAAATCAATAATACAGTCAGAATAGCAAACAAAAACAGGTAAAAACAAGAATAATTTCATGTATGTATCTTGGGTTTAAAAGCTATGATAATAAATAGAGAAATTTAACATTAACATTATAATAATCTAGAATAATCTTTTGATCACAAACATCTAATTTGCAAAAAAATTTTTTATCATGTGTCAATAGACAAAAGCTCCATAGAGTATAAATATAGGGGTCTCAAGATGAAGTCATGAGATTAGATCAGCCAATTGGATAAAAAAGTGACACTCCATAAACCATACTCGATACTCCGTTCCTGGTACAGTACCGCCTTTTTATAGTCAATTTTAGGAGATAAGAAAATTCCTACTCAAGTATTACATATTAAAAAAAAACGTATTGTGGTACATACAAATCGAGTAATCAATAACCATAAATACATATCGACTTTTGACTATTTGTAGATAAGCTCTATACATATACGAACTAGCGATGTTATTCAAACTATTTGGGACGTCCCAAATTATGTGAATAGCATCACACGATTTCAGCAATAACAATATAACAAATTTATAATTACGCTTCCATGTTAATCGTGTATGGAGACGCTATAACTAGTTTATTCAATAAAGTTTTCGAGTTCTTTGTGTATGAAGACACGATTACTCCTTTATTATTGAGCTGATTCGAACTGGCTTTTTACAAGAGTATATTTGAGCTTATTTGTACATTTTAAGTTATAATCTCTTGCAATTTTTCTATTTGAACATTTTAAGTTATAATCTCTTGCTATTTTTCTATTTGTACATTTTCGTACGATTAACATTTTTAATACTATTTAAAGCTACTAATTTTATAGGCGTTGAATAAAACCTTTAACACAGTCTATCACTATAGCATTATTATTAGTACTCTTGGCATTCTTGGAATATGTATTACATTATGGTTATCTATTACATGATGTTAAATTACAATGCCTTTACTCAAAATTTTAGAAATACAAACCATCTATATATTAAAAATAAAAAACTGTGTTAAATTTTTTTAAAAAATATTTTCAACTACTAGGATGATTTCAATAAGTTTTTTATTTGACATCTGTAAAATTCAAATAAAAAAAGGTCATTAAAATTGACATAATGAGTTGACAAGAAATTTTTACTTAAGGTTAAAAAATTTGATACAGTTTTTACTTTTTAACAGACATTTAAAAGTTATTTAAGATTTTGAGCAAAAATATCTTAACAACTACTAAGCCAATATTTTGGATCTAAATCTAATTAAAATACAAAAGAATTATGTGGTAACATTTTATATAATACAAAGATAGTATAAAAAATAATCATCATGGATTAGTTTAACAAAACAAAAACAATAAAAAGGATGAAAAAGTAATAAATGTAAAAATATAAAAAGCCATCTAGACCTATTTCAGGCACTAATTAAAAGTGTTGAAAAGGCGATCATTGCCTATGTGTCCCTAACCCTAATTAAGTTATATAATTGGACATAGTATAATTAAGAATTACTTTTTGGTATCGATTCATTATAAATAAAAATTGTGTATTATTTTTGGAATAAATTCTGGATTAATTCATGATTATTTTTATTTAGTTGACATAGATAAATCATAATTTAGTACTTAAATTTTATTGTTTTGTGTATATTTAATATATTCTGTATATTGTTGTGTTCGACTCGGTCGCTCCACAATCCAAATTCTTGTGCAACGTACGATAGGTAACCTTTTCGGAAGAGGGTGTTAGATTTGGCTGGTGGGTGATTAAGGCTTTCGGTTATTTTGGTTTAAGAAGGCAAGTCGGGTAAGTCACATGAACAAGAACTTGAACGAATGACGATGTTTAGAGGGGTTGTCAGGGTTTATACCGGGTATAGTGTTAGAGTTTATTATGTACAATGTATTGGAACTTGTTATTTAATCAAGCAAACGAAGCATACTGCTCCTAAGGGCCATTTCGGCCTTTATTTATAATACTGAATTCGTCGCTCACAAATGCGACTTAACACTTATTATCTATTAAAACTAATTAAAGCTATTTACACGTATTTATTTAATATCCTTCGCTTCCGATCTTAAATGTAACTTATTGTTATTGCATTTCGTGCATTTTGCACGTGATCGGTCACGATATTCCGGTATCGCAATATTATCTATAAACTTTATTTTTTTAGTAACTATTTTTCTGTAATGGAGAACAAAATCGGAAATGCATATTACTCTTACAGAATTTATCATAAGTAACACCAAGTCTTACAACCTAAAATTTAGTCTAGGTATATCGGTATCATATATTTGTTTTATTTACTTTTTCACCTGAAGTTGAAACTAGTTGTTAATAAATTTACGTTAAAAAAAGCAATGGTAATACAATTTGCTTGATAAATTGTGTATAATAGACCGTGTATAGTAGACCATGTACTTATGTGGTTGTAATCTGATTAAGGTTGTTCTCAAGTACCTTTCTCAATGAGCTCAACAAAGAAACTGATTGGTCTGTTTGACCAAATTGACCATCAGATTCTTTGTTGTGCCCATTGATATAGTGATATAGATGCTTGAGAACGCCCAAACTGATTCATGTTGTGTACCATCTTATATAATGCTTGTACGCACGAATTAGCTAAATAGAAAACACAATTGAAATATAAGTTGTATATGTACTACAAATCTCAGTAGCGGCACAAAAATATTTTGATCACCGTAATGATAAACATTTCATTTATAAAGTTAGTCTATTCTGCAAAGTATGAAAGGATTTTTCATCAAAATGGTATATGGGAGTCTTAGAACTAGCAACTCTGATAACCCCTGGAAATATCTTTATGAGGATGTCTGCTGGGTCCTTTCTCATTTATATAATGTCATAGTGGAGTTCTTTATCCGTAACAGCATTCTTGCATTTCGCTTTTCCTCTGAAAGAGATGATGCACCAATAAGTGAAGTTAATTTGTCATATCTGAGGAACTGGATCAGTGTATTAACTCAGGCTATTTTATTTATTATTACGCTTCCAGTCGCTTTATTCTATCCTCTTTTGGCATTGAGAGATACCGGTGTCTCGAGAATTCGGTTACCTACATTAGAAACGGGAAATGAATACACTAATGAAAAATGGTTTTTCATAAATGGTGTGATTGTAGATAGAAATTGGTTAGATGAAAACTGCAAATATCTAGAGAAACGTTTTAATAGGGGTGTTACGGGAATTCATAATACAACTTATGGTTTTTTGTGGGACTTTATAGAAACAATCCTTATGAGAAGTTTTGATATTGACGTCGTGTCGGTACATTTGGCTACACAAAATATTCTTCCAGCGCTCAAGAATGAAAAAATTGAAACTGTTAGGTTGATTGCGCATTCTGAAGGTACTGTCATGGCAAATTTAGCCATAAGAAAACTATATATGGAGTTGAGTTATTCAGACGAGTCACATTTACTTAAGAAACTCGAGGTATACACATTCGCTAATGCATGTAGAGAATTCGAAAACCCAAATGGCCTAATCAAACGTATTGAGCATTATGCAAATAAACAAGATCCAGTTGCTATGATAGGTGTTCTCAGTAATATTCACAACGACCGTTTTCAAGGGGAGATTTTCGTTAACGAAACAAGGAATAATGGTAAAGGTCATCTGTTAAATGCGTACTATAGCCTTAATGCTATTGATTATAGATCTTGGAGATCCGATGACGCAGTTCCTACGTTTTTAAATCTCCCAGGGTTTGTTGCCAATCTACCTATCGCTATCTAGGCGTAAAACAACATGCAATATACATAGTAAAAAAAAAGATAACTTCGTATAAAATATTTTATATCTAATAAGAAAAAAAGAAAGCTTCATACTTTTTTTTAATTTAACAATCAATTTTCTGTTGATCATCAAGTTAGATATTAGCCCATGGCATTTAAGCCTTAATGAGGATAAACAATTTATTATTTAAAGAATCACAAAATTAGCTTTTTAATGTTTCGTATATTTGATTACTCTTATAATGCATGGTTCAGAACTTATGCTTATGGCCCTGACCAAGTAAATGGATTTGTTTAATTGTAATCATTAATCAAAGTTATTATTATTATTATTATTATTATTATTATTATTATTATATTATTATTATTATTATTATTATTATTATTATTATTTTGATACTTGAAGATCTATCTATAAAGGACCAAATTTTCTAAAATCTTAAGATATATTAAAGGAAATTTGAAAATAGCTAAAGTTAGTAATTCTGCCTGCAACATAATATATAATATTAACATCTTTTATACAGAAAATACGGATACAAATATAGGTGAAAGGAACGCATTAAAAATAGTATTTAAGATATGCTATTTAGTAATTCTAATGAATGAGTTTTTACATCCCAGACTTATACGTGAGTTACTAATCTGAAAAGATATTTTGGATAGTGAACCATCACAAGTCACGTATGAGCATGATGATCGGAAATATTTGGTATGTACGTTGTAAACGTAAAACGGCGAGTCAGTCGCTCCACACTCGGATTTCTCATGTAACCACTTGGGAGGGTTTAATTCGGGTCGAAAGAGGTGTGTTATATTTGGCGAGTGGTTTACTTGATAATAGTGGTTTCTACTGTTAAAGGGGTTTCAGGTTCGGTGTTGGTCAAATGTACTAGTGTACTTTATGTAATCACAAGTCAGGGACAGATTATGCAGTAACGATTATGTTTAATAAAGATATCTGTTTATTATTATTGACAGGCAATTTTTATTATGAGTGATTATGAATTATATGGGTTGTGTATGAGTTGCAAAGAGGGAGTTATCTTTCCAGAAGGGTCTTTTGGCCTTTATTTATAATTAAAAGACTCTATTTACATTCTGCGATTGATACGACTGATATCATTGATGCTACCTATATGTCTCATTCTACTGATATCCCCAAAAATATCCTTCTGATCGATCGCTGATATCCATCACATTCGCCGAATGCGTCACACGCGACTGATCGGTCAAATGCGACGGATGCGATCGACTCTTTCCCTAATTAAGCAATGGCACAACCCAAACGGCCAGGGTCCCACAACGTATGTACATTGTAAAAGTGCAAACTAACCCTCGAAATTATGCTGTACTGATGCAGTATAGCATTCGATAAGAGGTAGGTTAGTCATGGCGAAAAGTGTTCGGTTCATGTGACTATCTGTGGTAAATTATGGAAATTGTTACCGACACCACAACATGTATCTAATTTCCTAATTCTAACACTAACCTTAACGATAATGCTGACCGTTCGATGTCATTAAGGTTAGTGCTGGTCATTTGTGGTGCGATAAGGTGGTTCGGTAGTAATCTCCTAAATTATTCCTGATTTGGTATAATGTAACATGAGATTTTACATATACTTTCTTAAAATCTGTCCCTAAGATAAATATTAATCTAATTAGAAAATTTTCTACCGAATATTCTTCACCATAGCTTGAGCACTAACGTTCGATTTTTCCATTTTGTCCATTCTTGTTATCTTTTATTATTTTTATTTTGTAAAAATGGAAATAATCATCAATATCAGTATAAAAAAATTATATCAAGTAAATAGTTGTGAAAAGTATTATAAGAAAAATAAGTAGTATGTAATTGAAAGTATATGATAAAAACTATTTTTTTTAAATACAGATAGCTTTTGGTTTATGACTTCAACTCTTAGAGTTCAACCTTTGTAAGTGTTTGGTTTTACTAATTCTATTCTGATAAGTAAATCATTACTAATAATAGTAATTAGTAATTAAATCCTATGATTTAATAATAAGAAAATTTGTAACATAGTTTAGTATTTTAATTAATCCTAGTTTGATACTTAGACTAATTTTTTTTACATCTTTATCATTGTTTTATTATTATTAGAATTTAATTAAATTAATTTAGTTAAATTAATATTGTGTTGTATTATATTTTTGTATATAAAGTATTTTTACACTTTAACAATATATATAGTCAGGGAATATACCAAATAAGAAAATTGCATTCTAGAATGATCTATGAGTAAATTCTTGAACATGATTAGCTTCTATGTGCCTTTTTTTTCACAAATATTGTACATTTTGAAAAAAAAATTTTCAGTAGTTAGCAGAATCTAAAAAGCTTCAAACATGTAGTTTAGAACATCTACTTTTAATCATCCCAAATAATCCCATTTTATAAATGTTTTTGCTAAAGTAAATAAGATGCTAAAACCAGGTATTTACTTTGTATAAAAAGTTAAAAATCATTATCAGTTAACTTAAAACAACTTGAAAGTTTATTTTTATTTTTAAACAATGATTTAAAAGATTATTTATATTAACTTTCATAATTTAATTTAGTTATAACTTCATAAGTATTAATATAATTTGTGAAATAAAACACTTAAGATATTTAAAAGAGATTTAAATTACGAATCAATATATGAGTTGTATTTTTAAGCAATACTATATATATGGGTGGTATTGTTAAAATAGTATAAATTGAATATTGTAATATGTAATTAGTAGAGGTGATATTAAGTAGAATAAAATTGTTATTTAAAATATTTAATATATAGGTAAAGCTTCATTAATAGTTTTGCTAATAATAAGATATGTATTTCAGTTTTTATTCATATATGAGTTTTTAATTAATTTGATTAGTTGATGTTCATGTGCTATAAAATCTAGAATTTTCTGATCGACATTCTTATACCATAAAAGATGTGATCTTCAATGTCCATTTTTGGTATATTCTCTGACTGATATATATATATAAATTAAACCTATTTCAAATATATTATCTCTTAAATATCACAATTTTTTTATTATATATAAATCTATATCAGCAAAGTATTTTAATAGCTTTTAAGCATAACTGGAATCTTATTCTTTAATAACAACCCAAGTAGTTACTACAGCAATTTATAGGTTATTTACAATTTAAAAACACATTTCAACAGCTTAACTAAATCTTAAATTTACAATTAGCAAATTTAAAAGTTTAGACTATCAATATGAAAACCTCTGAGTGTTATTATTTTGAATTTTTGATCAATATCAAATAATTGAATTGATTCTGATTATTTTTGTATTTTTGTATTTATTATCGATTCTGTTCATTTTGTGACCTATACATATTGTATGCCTCTATTATGCAATATTTAGTAATACCCATTTCAGTCTAAATATTTACATTAGTGTTATTTAATTTTTGAGCTGTATGTTTGTAAAGAGAATAGTTTACAATCCTTCTACTAGCACTATTAATACCTGTAATAAAACAAGCTTTCTTCATAAAACTAGAAAACTTATTACAGTCTATATGACAGTTTAAAATTAGAAGCTTTTATAAAAGAATAGTTTATTTTTAATTTTTTTTTGTATTAAAAGAGAAAAAGAAATTGAATTATATATTTAATTATCAAATTAATATTATTTTATATAGGCTTAAACATATGAACTAATGATGTTTTTTTTTTTGAACTTTGGTAACAATGCCAGTTGGTTTTTATTAGCCATAATTTGATATAGTACAAATTTATGGTTACATTTTTAGAATCAATTATTACTAGTACTATATACTATCTAATTTAACACCACTAACTTTACCCAGTTACCCTTATGGCACCTAAGTGCATGTCTGCCACATGCCTGCATGTAGTTACCTTGGCAACCACTTGTGGTCATGGCACACATTAAACTGCTACACAGACAAGGATACCTACTGAACTTAATGCAGCATCTGAAATGCCAGGGGTACTGTCTTCTGTAAATCATACCCATATGTCCTACTTACATGTTTTACCTGGTCTTGTTTCTTCTGCCTCCTAATCTAACTATATCTAATATTACCTTGTTCCCTACATTTCCCACCTTTTCATCACTGTATCACTACCAAATTGGTCTTACTTGGGTATGTCTGATCCTTATGATCTTCCCATCTTTGGTTTGCCTGTTATTGATTCTTCTAAGATGTTCTGACAATGGTCTAGGATCTATAATGAACCCATATCTCAAGCCAGATTTGCTGCTACTATTGGTCTTTTGACCACTCTGTATCTCAAGCTAAACCTGCTGCCACCATTCTTGCAGATGCCCTAGATCTTAATGTCATACAGTAACTTGATACTGCATTTAACCTCCAATATGGTGCTTTCTTTTATGATAGAGACTGTGACTTATTGCACTTACAAACAGGACAATTCTGATTATACCTAGGGAGTTCTTCTGACTCTAGTGATACTATACTACTATGTATTGCAAGCTCTCAGCTTATTCAACAATACCTGCAGGACAATTCTGGTTATGCCTAGGGAGTTACACTGACCCTAATGATGCCATACTATCTTGCAGATCTTATCTTACATTGGTTGGTTGATCCCTAGTCTTGTTCATCATAGACTTCCATATAGGTATAACTAGAACCCAATTTGGTACTTTTACATTGCACAAAGAGGTTATACACCTACCTTCAAGATCTTCCCTTCTATAATTAGATTATTCGGATGTATTAGAGGTGCTTCTAATTTTTGGTTAGACCAATCCTTTATTACAGTCCATCTTTGTGTTTACTGCTTCTCTCATTATTTCAGTCTTAGTTACTTGTCAAACTACTCTCCTAATCAAATCCTCTTCTTGGATCCCAATTAAGACTTATTTGCACAATCTGTTGATTATTCTTCCAAGCAAGTACTTCACAAGTTGGGTGCAGGAATGTTGGTACTGCCTATATTAGGAGGTATAAGGATGTTGGTATTGCCATAGTCTAAAGGACTTA